CGGGTCCGGGCGGGAACAGCCGCTAACAGCGCCCACTGTCACTTGCAGGCCCCCTCAAAACAGACTGTTAGCCATCACAGGCCCTGGTGGAGGTAGAGGCCGTGGGAGCTTATTGCTGAGGTAAGGAGCCGTGGAAGGGGACGGTGTGGGTTCTTCTACCCTTTACCTTGGCTTTGGTTTGCTGTTCTTGCACTGGGGCATTTTACGCTTCTTTCCCGACCCCATTGCTCATTGTATTGCTGTTTCAGTAAACAGGTAGCAAAGGTGGCCTACAGGGCATTTAGGGGTTTATGTCACAGCCTGAAATTTACTTAAAGTACCTTCTCATTCTGAGTTATAACAGGTTGAAACTGGTGGTTTTCGCTAACACTTTCAGCCATTAGCCTGAAAAATAAAGGGAGACAGTAAAGTGCTGGGAGCTGGCACCTTTGAAGTCACCCAAAGATAATCTCTCTTGGTAATTAAGAAAATGGTAGCTTTTCAAAAAAGAATACCAAGAATTGAAGTTGACAAACTTTAAAACACACGTAGTTTAAAACCACTAGTTCTTTCTTGTGGGTTTCTTTTTTTTTTTCCTTTTTTTTTTCCTTCTTTTTTTTTCCCTCCTTTCCTTCTTATTACAAGTAGAAGTACTGAACAAAAATTGGCTTTTTCATTCTTTCTTAATGGAATATGTGGTGGATTGTTTTTTGTTGAATTTCAGTATTAAACTGCTGGTTAAGTTAATACAATTTAACTTATTGCAAATATGAACACCTAAATGTAATGGGGCACATTTTTTAAGCTCAGCTACTCAATTGAATAAATGCAAAAGCTTAAGCTTAAATTAATTGGTGCACAAGCAGCATGGTTAAACATTTAATTGCAATAGTAACAGTAAAGCTAAAATAGAGTTTGATTGTGCAGGCTTAAGGTTAGGGTTTAGGCTAGAATTAACCTAACTTGTTCTCAGATCATAAGTTGATTTCTTTTTAGGCGTGGATTCTCGGATAGTGGAGGAGGACCCCCAGCCAAGCAGAGGGATCTTGAAGGGGCAACCAGTAGGTATGTGGAAAAACTGATGCAGAAAACTTGCTTTATCCAAATGAGAATTCCTAACAGCAGGTCTAAAATACTTGGATTCAGTAACTGTTACTAACTGATGACTTTCACTGTTCTTCAGAAATTGCATATTCAAGACTGGTTGGAAATAGATTTATATTATGGCAGTTGTATGTAGCGACTTTTTTTTTGTATCTTGTAGTAATACAAAGATTATAGCAATAATATAAAAATAAAACAGTAGAAGGATTCTTGGCATTTTATGTTTGTGTACAGTCTGCTATATTATATTCTGCTTAGTAGCCCAGGTCAGTTTCACAGTAGCCACAAATTTAGTTATGGCTGAAGCCTTCCATTCAATAAGTTGAATGTGTACAGTGTGACAGCAGACTCAGATTTTGGCCCTTCACATCTGGATGGAAATCTGTCCGATGTGACTGACTCAGTGGGCGTTTGCCTGCAGTGGTAGTTCTTGCCTAAAGCAAGGCTTCCTTTTTGAATTTCTGTGTTAATGCCAAATGAACACTGTGGCTTTACTAGCAGAAAGTGCTGTGCCACAAAACTCGGAGTGAAAGCTGAAAATAACTTGCATGGCACGCTTCGTAGTTGTTCTTTGTTAAACCCTTGATTCATCAGAGTTCTCAGGTCTCAGGTGCTCTGCCCTTCCTTAGCTGTTTTCTAAGTGTTTGACTAGGTAACTTAAGTAGCATTTCCCATCTGAAAAATCATACCAACCTTTATATCTCGAGCCATTTAAATGTGTCTCATGATCTCCTTATACCAGTAGTCATTTTACTGATTCTAGAAGAAATGCATACGTTAAAACCAAGAAATAAATTTCAAAGATGTTCTAAAAAGTCAAATACACTGGTAATGTGTGTCTACTGTTTTATTTTACTGTGGAAGATGTATTAAAACTTAAATTGTTTTCTCTCAGTGATGTCTCCCACCAGTAAATTCTGTCTGTAAAATGCTACTTGGAGCAGTGGGGAGTTTTCTACTGGAGGCATTGGTTTCTCTGACTAGATATGCTGACTTGTATTATTATCATGGTAAAACAGGTGCTGTCCTAAATGTATGTTCTCTAGTGACCAGTAATGCTCTTTCTTCCTCAGGCTGGGTGGAGAACGTCGGACAAGAAGAGAATCACGCCAAGAAAGCGATGCAGAGGATGACGATATTAAAAAGGTAATAAGTGATAAATGCATCTGTGCAGGAAGAAACTGCCTTACGTGGGATATCAACTGAGTTGTTTGTCTTTCTTTGTTGTAGCCAGCATTGCCATCCTCTGTTGTGGCTACCTCCAAAGAGCGAACACGTCGAGACCTTATACAAGATCAAAATATGGATGAGAAAGGAAAACAAAGGTACACGGAAATCCTTTTTAAGCACTAATGTGGTACTTCTGAATGCTACCCTAAGAAGTAGCTTTAGACTTTAAAAGTACTATACAGATAGTGTTATTTTTCAAAGGTGGTGTTCAAGAGCTACCATAATAGTGTAAAGTTGATTTTAAAAAATACTATCTCAGAGTACTTCATAGCAGTAAACACATAACTCACTTCATGTGCAATGTGGGGGTTATACTTTTCAGGTTACCTACAAGAATAGGTTTGCCAGTGCTATTGCAACTGGTTGTCTTTGAGTAGGACTGATACATGTGGCTTTCTTGGTTACTTAACATTTGAGACTGTTACATCTATCTTGGTATATAATTTATTTTGGTGGTTCAAGGAGGCTTTTGGGTGTGGGTTTTTATCCCTTTTTTTTTAAACGTGTTCCATCATGTTTCGTTTGTCTTACCACTTTTGCACTCATTATGTGTACTCTCTTACCTTCCTGTTGCCTGCTTCTTTTTAGATTCCTACTATGTATATCTGCTTTTTCCTGTATTTTATTTGTGTTAGGGTAACTCAAAAGTTCTTGCTGAAAAGCAGCTCTATTGGGAAGTGTTGGAAAAGCAAATTTGCAACTGTCTCCAACCTCTTGGATGCCATTCATTTCAGTCTGTAGCTCATCTGGTGCAGTCATAACCTGTACCTTAAATAAATAGAAGAATGAGAGCTGGAGAAAGGAACTGTAGAGAACTGCTCTCGTGAGGGCCACAAATGGGTTAGCACCAAAAAGCTACTTTACTTGCTCCTTTTACAGATACACCATCGTTAACAGACTCGATTCCATCACGAATTTCTAGCTGCTTTCCTCACAGAAGGACTTTCAGAGTTCTTAGCGTCTTCCTTCAGGCACTGTTTCCTCAGAATTGTGGCTTTACAATTTTGCACGTCAGCAGTCTTCTGAGGAGATCAGAAAACCAGTATTGATCTCTGTGTGACTTGTGGTGGAAAGAGGCTCCTTAAGAGCACAGCATCTATCGAACTCTTGATTTTGCTCAGTGTCTTCTGGGATATTCCTATACAAATACATTTTGAGTAATTTCTAGCTCTCAATTCTTTATTTGTTCCTATTTCTGCTGTTGAATATGAAAGTACCTTTACCTTTCCATGGCAGGTCTGTGCCACTGTAGTAGAGTGGTGCTGAGTGAAGAGTACCATTCCCTTTCTCTTAATTGGGTCAAAGTTTGAGGCAAAGAAGAGAGCCTGCCTCTTGTAGTGTAGGCTTAATTTGGGATTAAACAGAAAGAAAGAAGGGAAAGGTGAAAGTCAATAAATTAGTTCTTGTTCAGAAGAAGGGAGTTTTACTTAATTTTTCTCAAAACAACAGTTAATTGGATGAGAACAAGTCTGGTTTCATCCTGCAGTGTGGTGCCTTGCTGTAGAAGATGTTGTTAGGCCAACTGTGATGGGTAAACTTTGACTCCTGTGTGGCTCTATTTCTCCTCAATGCTCTGAGTGGGGCAGTGGGGAGTATGTTTTTCAGAAAGCCCAACGACCTACCAGCCTTACTGGTAGCTGACACTGTTTACTCAACCTTTTCTTTCGGTACTCTCTGCTTTTGTTGTGTTGTTTCATTTTGCTTTTAGTATTTCCTTAGTGTCATTATTTCCAGATGTAAAACAGGAAGGTTTCCAATTTTCCCAGTGCTAACAGTGATGTGTTATGGATAAGAGCTGTGTCTCACTCTTAAGCAAAGTATCATATGTGATGGTAAATTATATCCATGGCTGTTGGCACAGTCAATATGTGTTCTTCTGCTTATGGCCTTGAGTGATACTGAGCCTTTAAAAATAAATGTCTCTGAGGTGGAAAGTTTTTCTGATTGCTTATACAAATGGTAGTATTTGAACTGAATCTCAATCTTCTTTTTTGTTTTTATTCAGGAATCGACGTATATTTGGCTTGTTGATGGGCACTCTTCAAAAATTCAAACAGGAGTCCACAGTTGCTACTGAAAGGGTACTTATTTTTTGTTCTATCTGTAAATAATAAACCAAAATTGTGTGGTCAAGCAGCTTTAAGTAGGAGTGAAAGTTCTCCAGGGTGTAGGTTGCAGGTGACACAAATTGGTAAAGAGTGCAGGTTTTTGTTTGGTTTAGTTTAGTGGAATTGGGGTGGAAGGCAGGAAACACTTTCAACAGTTTCATGACTTAACAACGCTATTTCTGACCATTACAGAATTGAAAAGGCAATGTTTTGTTCATTGTTTTTTTTTTTAATGCTATAAATTTTTAAAACATGTAGACCACAAAATAGATTATCATTTTAAGTAAACAAATTGTACTGAGGTGCAGGCTTTGCACCGCTTAGTAGCAACTTCAGAAAAACTTTGTATACAGTGTGGTGGTAACTTTACTCCTGGTCTGCCCTTTTAAATTGTGGAGCGCATGGTATTTGTTTACTGTTGCCCTAAATGGGTTACTCAGTTAATACTAATAACCTTTAGATTTAAAACGGTTTAATTGTTTTTAACCAGTTTAAAGTTTAAGTTTAAACAGTTTGAAAGTTCTGGTGGAAGCAGATAGAAAGTTTTTAAACTTAAAACCTTTTCTGTGTAGTATTAGCATAGCTGGCTTGCAGTATCAGTATTGATCAAGTTCAGATTCAGTATTTGGATGTACTGCTGTTTGACCTAACTTGTCATGTAGCACATGAGAAAGGGCTAAAGTTCTCTGCTGCCTGCTTGCCTTTAGAAAAATAAACTATTGATTAGGATGGTCTAGAAACATGGAGTCCTTGTCTAAGTTATAATAGTATGTGCTCACATAAAGAGACTTTGAGGAGTTATTGCTCTTGGCAATATTTTTCTGAGAATATGTATAGGTATTGTTCCTTACATACACAAAAACTTACTATAAATCAAAGTAGAGGCCTAAGGAGTTTTATGACACAGCTATTGTTATCTAACTAAAAATCAAAATACAGTTTAGTGCCTGGACAACTATTGTACAATCTGAGTATATGGCTGTCTAGGGCATTCCTGGACTGTAGTAATATATCTAATCAGCAATTAATATACTGGAAGTATTTGCACTATTTTTTTTAAGTCGCAAACACCAGTCTACAGTCCTTCATTTGTTTTTGGGAGAGCTGACTTTTTTCCCCTTCAAGTGAAATACCTGAAGGTTTGTTTTGTTTTTTTTTTTTTCTCTTCCTGCCAGTAGGGGGAAACATGTTGAAGCTTGTATTGAGAATTCAAATCAAAATTGAATGATAGAAGAGCAGACAGAAATCCTCAGGGGCCTATAATTTTATAGTTAACCCATTTACTGGTTAATGGTGTAAATGAAAAATTTAATTGGACAGAACTAGAACACTTCCTTGATTTAGAAAAATATTTTAAGATGCTTCTTCATTTATCTTAGCAAAAGAGACGACAAGAAATTGAACAAAAACTGGAAGTGCAGGCAGAAGAAGAAAGAAAGCAAGTTGAAAACGAAAGGCGAGAACTGTTTGAAGAGCGACGCGCCAAACAGACAGAGCTGCGGTTACTGGAGCAGAAGGTTGAACTTGCCCAGTTGGTGAGTTTTAGTTTTGCTCTTGATCTTTCTCTTGTTTAAACTACTGTTGTCTATCTCAGGGTCATTTTCTTTCATTTTTTAGCAAGAAGAATGGAATGAACATAACGCTAAAATAATTAAATACATAAGAACAAAGACAAAACCCCACTTATTCTACATACCTGGCAGAATGTGTCCTGCTACGCAGAAGTTGATGGAAGAGTCACAAAAAAAGATGAATGGTAAGTGGTCTTGGTGATACAAAGACCCCTGTTCTTGCCTCCCTTCGATGTTTGCTGTACAAATAGTTTTTTAAATCTCTGCTTAAATACATGAATTTCATGGTTAGGACAAACTGTATGTTCTTGCATGGGTGTTCATCATAAGTAAACATTACTCTTTCGGTGACTTATTTTTATGTTGGATGTGCTTTGATTCTCTTACAAGAAATCAAGAGGTGTATGCATAATCCCAGAGGTATGCTTTTAAAACATAGTCCTTTACGTTAACTTTAGTACCCAGATGTACGCCAGTGCAGCAGTTTGGTTTTTGAAAAGGCAGATTGTATGGCTTGAAGACCTAAGAAAATGCAGGTTTTCACAAAGGATATGAGAAGCATTTTCTTAACCACATCACTAGAACCTTTTCTTTTTTTTTTTTTTTTGTCTTAATATGTCTTCATTTCTGTTTCACAGGATGACTATATTTTTCTTTTGGAAAACAATTTAAAATACTGCGGTTGATGGTAGTCCTCCTGTTCTTCGTTATTAAACTGAAAATGTGTTGGATTTTTTTTCTTAAGGAGCTTTTCTTCAGCAGGGAGGGGTGGGGGGATCAGAGGAGCTAGCTCACCTGTCTGAACAGCTTATGTTATTTAAGCTTTCCTAATACCTAACCCCTTTTTGCTGATTCTTACTGTCTTTTGTTTACCTCAGGGAGTATAACCTTGTTAATACATAAATACCAGAAAATTAAGGTATTATTTTGACATACTGTTGGTTGAATGAAGTAAAGAGTTCTTTCTGTTAGCTTAGATTTAGGGCTTTACTGTTCTGATACTCAGCTGAGCTGACTGTCCCCTTTGCTTTCCTGTCTTAAGGTAGCTAGCAGTCTTTTCCATTATGCATGAATGGCTTGCTACTTCAGAATGAATAAGGATGCAGTATTTATAAGTTGAAACAATTTGCTAACTTACTAGCTCATAGTTAAGAGGAAAATAGATTTCAGTGTCTGTACATTATCTGAAACTATTATTTATTTATTTCCTAGCAATCTTTGAAAGCAGGCGAAATGAATTTGCAGAGCAGATTAACAAAATGGAGGCCAGGCCCAGAAGACAATCTGTGAAGGAAAAAGAACAGCAAGAGGTGCAGAAAGAAGAAAAGAAGGAAGGACAGAACAAGGAGCAGGAAGAGGGTAAGGTGGCTCAGCAGGTGGAGGAGTTGGAGACAGGTAATCAGCACAATGATGTAGAAATGGAGGAGTTAGGGGAGGAAAAGGGAAAAACAGGTTCAGGGCATAGTGATACAGAGAGAGAACAGGAAGAGGATGAACAGAAACATGAAATGGAGGTTAAAGTAGAAGAGACTGCTGAAGTGGGGGAGAATGACAAGCGACAGGATGGTCAGCCTGAAGAGATCACAGTTGTAAAAGAGGAAAGTGAAAACATTCAGCCAGTGGATAATGAGCAGGATGTGGCTGAAATTAATGAGGCAGATAGCATAGAACCTGTAGAAAATGAAAATGACAAAGAAATGGAACCAGAGACAGAGTGTGATGCTCAGCCAGAAAAAGTGTGTAATGTTCCTTCTCCCAACAAGGAGAAAGGTATCAAACAAGAAATTGAAGGGGAACTTGAAGAAAAACAGGAGATGGCACCTGAAGCTCAGCCAGAACCTGTGGCTGAGATGCTCTCTCAGCCACAGTCTGTGCCACTGCCACAGTCACCTCAGTTGTCTCAGTCCACTCAGGATACAGAGCCCCAGGCAGACAAAGATGAAAATGCTGTGGTGTCGGTAAAGGTGGCTGAGGCACAGACAGAGCAGAATCAGGCACCGAGTGCTGAAATTAAGAGTAAGACTAGGAGCAGAAGCAGGGGTAGGGCAGGGAACAAAACTGGTAAGAGTCATAGCCGTAGCAGCAGCAGCAGTAGTAGCAGTAGTACTTCAAGCAGTACTACTAGCGCAAGTAGTTCCACCACTGCTAGCAGTAGCAGTCGGAGCAGTTCCACCAGCAGCAGCACTACGAGTGGCAGCACGAGCAGGGGCAGCAGCAGCAGTAGCTCCAGCAGTAGCGAAAGTAGAAGTCGAAGCCGAGGAAGAGGGCATAACAGGGATAGAAAACACAGGAGGAGCACGGACAGGAAGCGAAGGGATGCTTCAGGAGTAGACAGGAGTCACAAGTCCTCAAAAGGTGGGGCTAGAGATGCCAAAAGCTCGAAGGATAAAAGTTCAAGATCTGACAGAAAAAGGTCTATATCAGAAAGTAGTCGGTCAGGCAAGAGAGCTTCACGGAGTGACAGAGACCGTAAATCAGACAGGAAAGATAAAAGGCGTTAACAGAAGAGACCAAGCTTCCTTAGCCTAATCTTTGCAGCGAAGATTATTTGAGTGAAAGGATTCCTTGTAAGGAGGAGGAAAAGGCTGCCTTAAGAATTGCATGCTGTAAAAAATCTTTTGGACAAATGCAGACTGTTTACCAGGCATTCTTGTACTTTTTACATAATTTTGTAAAAGGTTACGTATCAAAATTGTGAAGTTCCTGAAAATGTAAAAATAAAAGATTAACACTCCTTTGCATCTTTTTTTTAATATCCTATACTCATTAAGATCCTCTGTATATTTTAATAGGTAAACCTTTAAGTAGATGTGATCACTTCTTCTGTATCATACACTTTTTTTTTTTGTAGAAATAAATGTGCATTTTAAATAAATTGAGATGTCCTGTTGACAATTAAATTCCCCTTTTAGAGCATATTAGGGAGAGGCAGTGTTGCAGGAAACGTGAAATTTTGCTTTTCCCCTCTACTCCTTGCAAGACTAGGAATTTTAAGACCCGGTAAAGGGAGTAACCTCTCCAGTGCTGGGTAGGAAGGGAAAGCAATTGATTTAGATCTTTACTTTTTGTTTTATTCTGTAATCACAAGCTCTTACTCAATTCTATATGCCAGTTTGATAAAAGTTTTTCCTATCCATAGGCAAGCAGTGATTAAGTGGGAATGTTAACACTGGCCAAGATAGCTCAAGTCAGTCTGGCATACCACCCTTACCCACCTTCTGCAGGTGCTTTGGTAGTAGTTTCATGTTCTGGAGACAGTTAATCTGTTTAATGAAGTTCCTTGCTTTGATGGCCAGTTGGGTAAAGACTTCCACTTGCATCTCAATCAGGGATCTTTTTATTTTAGTTGCAGCCTAATCTTTGATCCCTTCATACCACTAGGAATAATGATATTGCAGTGCTGGAGTTACCTGGGACTACACAATACTAATGTTGTGTGCGTGCAAGAATGCTTTCCGAATGTATTTAATACAACTTAAAGTGGTGTGGTGTTATCTATGAAGGTGAATACTGTTTTTATATAATTTTGTATGGAAAACAAATAACATCTGTTGTTCTGTTCTGTACATGTGCAAATAAATGTGGCTTTGTAGACTACTCTCTCAATGCCTATGGTGTTTTCTGTAACACAGGTGTATTATCCTAGTCTTTCAACATTTAAAGTGTGAATCATAATTGCAGGTGACTGTACCTTGGAAGCTGTATATCCAAAATTGTCCTCACAGGATTTAATTAATGCCTATTAACTGAACATGAAACACTGCTGTAATCTGTGTTGTCTTGGCAGGAAGAGAATTCTCAGATTTTGTATGCCAAATCACAGGCCAGGAAGTCCTAGATGGATTCTTTGAATGGATTTGAAATGTAAGCTTATTTTTGTGTTTTTAAAAAAAAAAAAGAGGCCATATATACCCCACTTTTTTTTAACACAGAGCAGGCTTTTGCAAAGTTCTCGTCTGGGAGGGTGTCAATTTTTGTAGTGACAGACCTCTGTATTCTGAAGTGCTGAACTTCCTGGCATGAAGAAATGAGTCTAGCAAGGGATGAAGTGGAGTGTTCTTTCAGCACAAATAGACAGTAGGAAATGTCAGGCTTCCCCCTTCTCAACAAACTCAATACTTTATGTTAATTCTTCAGTCTGTTTGCTACTTCAATATCCTATCTGACCCTGCTTCTGTACAACTAAAAATCAATTTTAGTTCTCAGTAGTTCCCAGCTGTATTTCCTTCCCTTGAAAGCAATGTGGTAGCTTAATGTGCTGCCTTTTTTGAAGGACGAGCAAATGTTCAAAAGTCTTATTGAAGATGTTAAACACAGAAGCTTACCACAAGGAACAAACTTCTATGATGAGTTTGAGTAAATGTTACTGGTTTGCATGTTTCCACTAATTTCACATTTCAAATAGTCTTTGGAAGCCATTTTAATTTTGCAGATTTTTTTTTTTTTGTCTGACACTGCATATTTTTAAGGTTTCCTATTTTGAGCTTAATTGAATGATTGACTGCTGTAATGCATTTACTGTGCAGGTTTTAATGGCTGATACTGTAGTCATGCAAAGCTAGAGAAGGGGGTTGCTATTCAGAAGCCACTGTTTCAGAGGAGCATGTTACAGAGCTTTATAAATATGTGCATCCTGGTAACTGAACTAGGGAACGGATTGATTACATTGTTTCTGGTGGTATTACAGGCAGCAGTGTTCTCTTTATTTTTTTGACAGGGTGAAAAGCTGAGTTTCATTGTGGAGTACAAATGTATTTGATGTATTTGTTAGTTTAATGTTTGTTAGAAGAAACTTACTGACGTGGTTAAATTGTGGCTATAGCAGCTCAATGCAACATAAACATCAGTATAGGATAACTTCATAAGAATGACGTTTTCTAAAAGATAGTCAAACCAGTATTTCTGTACAGAAACAGTAGATAGTTGTATACTGTTAGCACAATATTACATAAAGACCTGTGTCTTCATAAAGCAGTAGTATTTTTTGTAATTCTTACACTTTTCCCCTCAAGATCCCATCCTCCTACCCTGAAACAGTTTTGGAGCTGTGGATAGGGCTGAGACCTCAGGTACAGTTTCCTCCCTCTGTTCCTGCTCTACAGTTTCAAATAGCTGACAAATTCAGTTGTGAAATTAATGTAACAGTTTGGGGTTTCTGAGAACCAAGTGCAGATAGCACAGAGTTAGGAAATATTTTAGTAATTTTCTTACTTTCCCCATAGTGGTGAGTAGAGAGCAAAGGGAAAATGTCCCCTTTTCTTCTCACTCAAGTAATGTGGAAAAACAAATTATATAAAAAGTGCCTAGAACACCTTCATTATAATGTATTGATAGGAAACCTGAATAATTTTTCTGTGGAAAGTAGGTATTAGTGAACTAAACACTCACCTCCAGTAAAATCCATTTCTAAAACCAGTAGATTTGTGAGTAGATTTCTAGAGCATCTTTTGTTTATCATTAAAGTAATGGACTCATGGTTAGGTCCCAGTTATAATTTTGAGGTTCAGGTTTAGCTCCTGATTTGTAGCAATTACTATGGCACAAAAGGACAAACATTGATTTCATGTGCACCACAGGTCTTTAAAATGAGTTTCCCTGCTCTAGAGAACTATTCTCTGAGACTACATGTATTTATGTTGGGAATAAATGCTGTGGCAGTGATGCATAAGCAATATACAGAGATCTGTGGTTTGGGGGATATAATTTGGCTTTCAGACTTTATTTTTCCCCTCATCTCAGTTTTATAGCAACTTGTGTTTTACCACAAACCTTGTTTAGGTAGTTGTTGTTAGGTGACAGCATTCTATTGTATGGCAGAATGTGAGGCCTTCAAAGTTTGGAAATGTATTATCAAGATTCAAAGTAGTATAAATCACAAGTTCCATGATTTTCTAGGAATGCACTGTTAGTTGTCATGCTTATAACAGTTTTTGTAATAGGGAGGCAACGATGGCTCTTTTTTGCTATTTGTTATGCTGCCAAAAAACATAGGTTTAAATCTGGATGATGAATGACTGGTACCTTTTAGATTTGTGTAACTGAAAGACTGAATAATTGTTTGAGTTACTAAATTTTAAAAGATACTTGTTTAAAAAAAATCTTTTTGACATGACATCGATTCAATATAATAGTTGAAAGTGGTTTTGCCATCAACTATATTCTTCCATGTATTAGTACAATATTCTACACCATGAAACCCTACATTTGCTGTGGAGCCTTTTGGTGCTACTGTAAGAATATAACCAAAGCTGCATATCCTATTGTTATTATAAAACATATGTTGACTTTAATGTACTTCGGAGAACTTTTACCAACTTAAGATTTGCTTTGGGGTCTTTACTGATAATGCAGATCCTGAATAGTCCAGGAAACGCAACATCTCCTTTACCGCAAAGGACACAAAGCCGTGTCTTACAAGAGCCATCCAGTGTGCCATACTACTCAGTTTCTTTAAATTACACCATAAATTGAGCTGATTCTTCTCTGATTTTTAATATTTCATAAGGGATATCTGCATTTCTAGCTTGGTAGTTAGTTAGATGTCACTGCAAATAAATCAATAGCTTCACCTTAATGAAAACTGTTGAAAACAGATCTTTTTCATTAGCATCGTTTGTCTTCAGATGTGTAATAGGACTCAGATTTGTTGCCTCAGTTCTGCAGAACAGAAGTAAACTGGTCTCTATATGCTATGAAACTTTCAACTTTGTCCTCTGGAAGACATGTATGACAAACTCCATGAATCTTTATCTTTGACTTTAGTTCAAAGGTGATTAGAATTTTATGTGCTTAAAATGTTTGTAAGTATAGAATTTACACCCAGAAGAAAAGAATAATCGATATAAATATGATTTCTTACTGAGTTACTAGAGGAACAAGTAACACAGAGATCAGAGCAGGGATCATCAACCTTTTAACAGCTCCAGCCTAGAAGAAGGGTTGTTGAAACTAAGCTACACAATGAGCAGTGCCCAGAATAATTTGAAAATTGCAGATGTAGATTAGACAGACTAGCTAAGGTGAACTGCAACATTTTATCTCTATATAAAGACTTGGGAATTAGTTGGGGTATCAATGTGAAAGTGAAGTCAGAGCTGTACTCAGAGCTGTTTTGACAAGTACAGTAATAATACGCAGATCTCAAGGTGTGGTTCTGGAAGTTTCTTCTCCCACATCAATGTCCGGAATTATGTCATTTTAGGTGGCAGAATACCTGACTCTTCCATTTTTATATGGATCAGTTCCACACTACCAGGTTCAAAAAGAGGCTGTTAACCTTTCTATGCCCATCATTGGCTTTTTGCCATGTTCCATAGTTGATGTGCAGCATTATGAAAGACTCATCGTTTCTTGGTGGGATAAAAATATTGTCCTTTTTTTGATTTTGTAGAGCACAGTACAGAGAGTCCCTCCAATATAAATATCTTGGATATTCCTTCTCACTAATCTAACTGTAGAGGCTTGAGAATAAAAAAATAAAATGCCCATTCGGCTTTACTACTTTCCAGGTTTCTTTGCATTTGTCATGTTTTACCTGCTTGTAATTCCATTTCTGCCCTTTCATCTACTACAGATAAATTTACAGGACCCCAGGGAAGGTCCCAAATCACTGCTAAGTAACACAGGATCTAGGAGAGTGAAGGGGAGATAATGTTGGTGCTGGAGGGGCACGGGGGCTACTCTATCGTGTGTCTTCCCTGGAGCAGAAGGCAGCTCTCCGATGGATTACCTAGCAGCAGAGGCAGCTGGTGTGCTGGGCCATAGGATAGGCCTCCCTGACTGCCGGGTCATGTGGCAAAGGAAGGGGCCAAAGTTAGATTGCAACTGCAGGCCGTGTCATCTGTTGTGATTTTTTTGTTTGCAGGACATTGCTGGTTAACGTGACCCTGGCTCACTTCGCGCCCTCTCTCCCACCCTCCAATAGAAGATCTGTTTGCTGGCTCGTTAGATCAGCACCAATGTCTGGCAGGTCTCATTTGTGGAGCAGGAGGGAGAAGGAACTATGCTGCAGCCTAGGGCACAGCTTAGGTTCATGGAAGGAGAAAGCAAAGCAAATTCTGCATGAGTCATGGTCAGGACTGAAGGAGGGGCAGGTCTATGACTGCAAGTATTATCAGGTTGGGAAGGAATGCAGATTCTTGCAGTGCTATCATGATGGTGGAGAGAAGAGGCTAGCTCATGCAGGAGAGTGGGAAAGGAAAGGTAAAGCCCTTTTTGTAGGTTAATTAGACTGACCTACCTATATTGTGTTTAGGTGATGAAGTGCAGACGATGTGGAGCCTTGGAAGCAGAACTTGCTTCTAATGCAAACCTCTCTGCAAGATTTCATTTATAGCACAACTTCATACCTATATAACCAGCGTACAACTCCCTGCCTACAACTTTAAAGCATAATCTGTATTTGAGAACATTTTCTATAACTTCATATTGGATATTAGGTTGCTAAGAAACAAGAGAATATTGCTTAAAAAGCAGGACATACCATTTGCATAGCTTTGGTGTATTGCTCTGTGATCTATCATGTAGGGATAGCATATGGATTTTCTAGTTGTCTCAAGAGCCTGAAAACTGCTAAGCACCTTTAAAAGGCTTTGAGGTTGAGCAAGTATTCACCACATGCAACGACTGTACTCAGTATCTATTGCCTGAGAAAACTCCACAAGAGTATGTGGAAAACATTTCTGATTTGTGTCCCCAGTGACCACCTATAAATAATCTGAAATGTATCAGTGCACATAAAATATGGTTTATTGACAAAAAAATCTAGAAAATTGTCCGTAGCTGTTTTAGCAATCATTCAAATCAATACGAGCATAAAACTGACAGTCCACCTTAAAATCAAATGAAAGGTGTATATTAAAAATGCATTCATAATCCAGAAAAAATCCTAATACAACTCTTACAGAATTTCTCCTAACACAGTCTTCCACAAACTCAGTACAAAAGAACCTTCCTAACAGACACTAAGTTTTGATGTGACCAGAACTAGTTTCTTTATATTCAAAACATCGGCGTAGCTATCAGAACATGGTTAATTATTAAACGCACGGGTACAATCAGGACACCTGACTTTGCAGATTGCTGGCAGGTTAGCATAGTCTGCTTCTGTTTAAGCAGATGAGAGAAGGAAAATAGGATTCAATGTTTATTTGCAATGTTTTGTTAGGCTAAGAAGAATAATGTAGAATATTCTTGCGAACTGCACATCGATGTGGTTTCCAGTTTCAGTGTGCTCTAGATTTAAGTTAAAATGACAAGAATCCTGAATAAGAGAGTTTTACTCTTAGTAGCTTCATTTTTAATGAGTCTGCAGAGTACAAAGGTACTTTCAGAATGGAAGAAGTGTGGTGATCAGGAATGCGAGAGTAAGTAAAATGTGGTTTTCTTTCAAAAAATGTGGTGTATTTGCAACTATTAGGAACCAGAATGTCGAAATTAGCAAAGAAACAGACTGAAAATGAGTAGCCATAGGAAATGTTTGTTGTCAGTATGCTAAATTTATGAGCAATAGGCTTAAACTTCTCAAACAAAAGGAGAAAAAAAAATATTTGCTGGATTGCATTGTGTAAGTATATAAAAATCAAAGTTCAGTAAAAATACTCTTGAATAGCTATTTTTTTTCAGATTTCCTTAAAACTGGCAGTATAAAGCAACTTTGAAGTGTTTTTTAACTGATTCTTTACAGGTACAAAACAATTGTGGTTCTTTTTTTTAAATGTGGTAGACTATCAGCTGAGAAAGAAGACTATATTGTTAGGTTTATAGTACATTCATAGCCCATTCTGCAAAACTTTTTTTTTTTTTGTACTGTAAGCAAACTGTTTGACTGGGTTTTTTTGTAATCTTTCTCACAAAAAAAACATGTTAATATATCCTCTTTACTTATTTTTCCTTCTTTAACATGAAGTAAGAGCAGTAACTAGTTTTGGAGTTTCTGGGGAGTAAACAGCTCTGCAGGAGGAAGGGCTACTGAATCACAGTGGGCAGTGATAAATAATGCCCCATTTATTATCCACTGATTACCATTGTGAAATCTGTCATAATCATACATAGCTGAAGCTATTTCTAAGCTGTTTCTGTTGGTTTGACAGCCTTTACTGATGCACTTTCAATGTGGATAGCATGCCCTGAAGTGGAAGAGAGCTTAGATTTCCTCAGCTGATGGATCTTTATTTCCCTGTAGAGCCCTACTGACTTTAGTGGGTTCTGGATGCTCAGAGAAGTCTGTCTGTGTGGAACAGCACGTGTTATGGCCTCCAAACTGACCAGAGCACGTCAGTAGTGCTTTCTGTGGGGAGGCAGAGGTGGAGACAGAGAATGTAAAGTCTTTCAATTTGAACTGGAAACCTTGGGTTTGATGATGTGTTTAAGGTCTATATTGCTTAAGCTTCCCTACTTTTTTCATAAGTTAAATGTATTAAAAATAGAGGACAAAATCTCTGACATGATTACTAGGTTTAACTTAGAATTTCTAAAGCATAGAACTACATATGTGCCTGGGAAATAATTTTAAGCTGGTTATATCTGACTTTAATAGTTGAACTTGCTAATTCTCCACACGCATTTCAGCACTGAAGGCTTGGCTGAGTAAGGACTAGGACTAGAATACATCTATATAGGATGAGAGCTTTCCTCCTTGATGTCTGTAGTAAATGGGAAATTCAAATAGGGATGCTTTTTGCATTGGTTGCTTTCCACTTGGTCATATATATGGATTAATAGCGTAACCATGCACATATTCGTGTATTAACAAACATTTGAATATAAGTATCAGACTTCTTCAGTAACCTATCTGACTCCAGACAAAATGGCTGTTATATTTAATTGTTTCTATCTTTCCACATACTATTCCAGTGGCAATGAGCAGAGTCCAAGCCACTACAGACTACTTAGGGCCTGACTGCCGGTATCTTAACTTCAAAACAGGGGAAGAGATAATTGTATACTCCAAACTTTCAAGGAAAAATGAAAACTTGTGGACAGGAAGTGTAAGTATTTCAGTCTGAAAGACTTATTTCCTTATAAATGATTTAGATAGTATAATAATAGTGTAACAACTGCAGTCTGCTTCCTTTCTAGGGATTTTCCATCTGATTTGTAATAGTAACCAGTCATGGATCAATATAGTATTTGGGAGATGGGTCATTGTTGTTGTTTCTATAGAAAGAGAAAATAAAATCTTGGCAAAGATCTGGTGGAGAAACAAAGAATCAGATCCAGAGAACAGAATCCAATTTTTCAGTCTCCATCTAATCATTTGGCTGCAATGATTTCATCTGGTCCCCTTAAAAACATTCACATTTATTAGGTCAGTTACCTACCACCAGTCCATGGGTAAGGTTTTACAGTTGCTTAATCAGCAATCCAGTATTTGGACCTGACTTCACAGTTCAGCGCTCAGGGAAAGTTCCCAGAGAATTTATCACATGTATTTAATGATTTGGAACAACTGAGAATGTAGTTAGAACAGCCATGTAGTTATGTTATAGCTAAGAAGGAATAGATGCATCAATCCAAATCCAACTTCTAGTAGAACTGTGTATGTGCTTCAAAACCAGAAGATCATAGTAGGGTTTTTTTTTGTGTTTTGTTTTGTTTTTGTTTTTGTTTTTGTTTTTTAATGATCTCTCACATTTTTTGTTTAACAGTGAAATTCTTGTCTTCATTTTTTTTTTTACCCAAGAGTATCTTTGCAGGTACCTCACTCTTCCTTGCTTTCCAAGATGTATCCCTCCATTAAAGGCTATGTGCAATGGTTTGACGTAAAGCTAGCAGCTGTTTCTTGGTCAGACTGACCCTTTCTTGATTCTTTTGGGCGTTACCATCAACACATGTTCTGTAGTCTGGTTATATTCATTGCCATTTTTTCTTCAGCCACAGCTGGCCTCACACCTGAATTTCATATCCTACTTTTTTTATAACTTATTCCACGTCATTAGTTATTAAGGCATGATTTTTCTCCCACTTGAGTCAATGGGAAATTTGCAGCTGATTTTAGTAGCAGCTTGCTGAGCCAATCTGTACACACAACACTTTCTTGGGTTGAAGCAGTGTTAAGGCTACTGGTTTGGTTCTGCAGAAACACATGTTCATAAAAATAATACAGAAAATAATAGTATAGAGTAATATATTTCCCTTTGCTTTCTAAAATGTCAAATGGAATAATAAGCCCATCTTCTATCCAAAAAAGAAAAGAAGGGGGTAGGGGATAGTCCCATAAACTTATTATTTATTTATTCATGCATTTAAAACTTACCACTGATGTTTAAATGCTCTCTTTCCTTTTTTATTTTTTTACAGAAAGGAAAGGATTTTGGGTATTTCCCAAAAGATGCTGTGAAGGTTGAGGAAGTTTTTATTTCAGAAGAAGTTGAAGTGCTCACTAAGGTAAACCAACATCACCAGATTTTACAGTATAGTTCACAGCAAATGAAAGTCTAGCATCCCATGAGAAATTCAAGTGTTGATGCATATTTTATTTCAGATAATTCAAAACATGTCTTTTTAATGATTGTCCTCTAAAATAATTTTTATCTAATAAATTATATAGAACCATTAGGAATACTATTATTACAGTCTTTTGTGTCAATTTATACACACACAGCTACACAGATAGAGAATAAAGATACACTGCTCTGCTTTAGAAAATTACACCTGAAAATATTTTAAAAGTTCATATTGTTCTTTTAGGAAACTGATTTCCTTTGTCTCCATGGAGATAAGTACACTTTTGAAAATGAAGATAGCATGTTACATGATCACAACAAAGAAAGTGAATATTCATCATCTGATGCAGAATCAAAGCTGTGTGAAAATGAACTCTTAAAACATACAAGGGACTCCATGCAAAAGGAAGGAGTGGAATCTGTTTCTGAAAAACAGATTTCTGATTCCCAGAAATCACTCACTCAGGAGGAGTCTGCAAGCAACAAGTTGGTCAGAAAAAATGAAAACAGTGAAGATGATACTGAAGAGCCACAAATGCAAAACAGTCTCCAACTAGAACCCGTTTCAACTCAATCTAGTTGGATTGCAGGATGGTTCACCACAGGCAGTGAAAATGATGAAGAGCCCTTAGAACCCATTACTGAATCTTTAGAAAATACATACCGAGGGAGAAAAATAGTCTTAAGTGCTGAGGATGACTTACAGGAGCCAAATGATAAGGAGGAACAAGAACCTCCAGCATCTGTTTGGTTTCAAGGTGGCCTGACAGACTTTCTGTATTTTGGTGAAGAGAATAATGTGGATGTTGGTTTGGCATCAGAAAAAAATGACCCACAAATCCATGATGTTTCTGATGTGCCTAGACATTCCAATAATGAACAGGAAACAGCAGCCACAGAGGAAACAGCAGTCACAGAGTTACCAACAGAAGAGAGTGAAAGCCAAGAATCCAAATCAGATTGGTTTAATTTAGGTTTAAGTAATGTTCTTAATTTTGGCCACTCTGAGGAAGACCAGCAAAGAAGAGAAACAAAGGACAAAACAAGTAAGACTGAAGAAGTACAGACTTTAGATCAGAAAGAATCACACATGGACAAAGAAACAAAGGAGATAGTTAAAGAAGCGACAGAGGCAGAAGATGAAGAGAATTATGCACAAGAAATAATAGATTCAAATAGTAATGTGCCATATCTTGGGGAGATACTAGCAGGTATGGGTACTCTTCATGCCACCAAAAGCCCCTCGAATAGCACAAAAACATATTTTGACATACTAACAGGTGACGAAGAGAAGGCAGTTGAACCTTACAGTTCAGGACAAGACTTGGTATCAGAAAGCCAGCTCCTGAAAACCACTGAAGCTGAAAAGACAAATCAGGAGTCAGAAAGCAAATACGGCCGGTCAGGTTGGTATGCAACTATACATAATAGATTTATTAATTATAATACGGTCACATATGATAATTAGCAGGGACACGGATCAATTGTATCAGATCGTATTTCTTCTTCTAGTCCACCTCAGTATTGTGATCCCTCAGACACACAAAAAAAGCGAGAAGCCTGACACAGCTGAGGAGCAGAGCTATTTCTTGTCTTCCAGTCATTCTGCAGACATACTGAAGTTTTAGAGTTCAACAGCCAAAGAGCAAGTGCAGAGTTTGCAAGATGATGTGTCTTTTAGTGAAGAAACTCTTCTAACTGAAAATGATGATGGAATATTACAAGGAAATAATAAGAGCAATGAAAGTACAACTAAATCAGAGAGTTAGTGAGGAGCTGTCTGAAAGAGATGAGGGTGCAATCCAAGAGAGCAATCTGTCTTCCTCACTAGCTGTGCAAAATAATCAATAGAACAATGAAGCAGAAGAACATTTTGTCAAATTCGTTAGCGATAGTGATGCTTCACAAATTTTACCTGTGGAAACACTAGTAAAAGCTGAATTATCACAAAAGAGCAATGTACCCTTGTTTAGTTATTTCAGTACTGAAGAACATGTTTCCAAGAGTAGTGAAAGTTGGGGGGGGGGGAAGGTTATTACCATGACCCTGTCTCCAAAGATTGACTCTCCGAAGATGCATTTACCTTCAAATTTAAATTTTCAAAATACAGTGAAAATTAACTCATCTGGGGGGAAAAGAAAAAAATGAAACAGTTGAAACAGTGCAAAACAAACAAAATAACCTGCACACTTGTATCCAAGAATCTGTAAATTCAGAAAATGAATTACCAAGTTATGGGGAACTACCAGGAACTGCAGATAATCATCTGCACATCAAGGAGACTCCATGTGACAGTGAACTGAGTCTTGTTCTGGAAACATTTGAGAAAGGCAAAGCAGTTGAATGCTGTGATACAGAATAAAACTCAGCATCAAAAAGCCAGTTCAAAATGGATGAAAAGAAAATATACAAACCAGAGATTAAAAGAGACCCAGTGGGTTTTTGATTAAAACAACATCAAATACTTCAGTCAGGATATTTTTAAATGATCAACAGTACCAGAAATCTGAGAAGTTACAGGAATTGACTCCAGTACAACCTTTCCCTCCCCACACCTCATCTAGTGGCTTCAGTTTAACAGGTACCAAAACTTCCAAAGAAATTGGCCACTGGGAAAGACGTAGAAGAGTTTCAGAATGGAAGATAAAAACTGTTTGCTGAGAACTAAGTTTTCCTGAGGAAAAAAGGCATCAGTATAAACCCTGATAAAACACTATGGGAGAAACAAACTGAAGGCATCTCAAATCAGAAGATTAAACATAATGAATCCAATAACAGCAATGCAGATACCTTCAAAGAGAATGATCTTTCTCTTTATCTGGCAATGCAAAATAACAAACTATTGCAGTAGCAATAAAAAAAGTCAACAAAATCTACCAGAGTAGTAAAAGATAAGACAATGTTTGATGCTCTTGCTGATAGCTTGTTGGGAGAGAAGCTATGAACTGCACAAATTCCTATGAATGTGCAACGTCATCAGAAAGGTGAAGCAGAAATAACAAAGAAAGATTCATGTTCCCAACATGAACTGGTACCAGAGAATGGGTTAGAGGACAGCCTTAATCCAGATCTTAGAAAGCAATATAAAAATCACGTGATAGCATAAAAGAAGAGATTATTCTGTATCATCATATTTAGGCCCACCAATTCAAGCTGTGATGATGATGCAAGATACAAACACACAGAAAATCAATTTAAGTTTTGGACGGCATCAGCAAGCATGACTTCAAAAGGCAGAGTAACATTATAATCTTTAGCTGAATCCAAGTCCAACAAAACAATTTATAAAGAAAATTTATATACAGTAAAAGTAACAGCAGTCACATGATATTCATCTGACTAAATGTCAACCTTTACCCTAGAAGCCCTCTTAAATAAAATACAATTTTAAAGGGGAAAAAAAATATAGCATTACAGTTAGTGTCTCCTAAACCCCTCAAACCAGAAAGCCAGACTGCTATTTAAAAAAAAAAAAAAAAAACAACCAAAAAAACCCAACCAACTGATTAATTAAATCCTGACAACCTGGGATTGCTCAGAAACCCAGCTTATAAAGTGTATGTTGAAAAATAAGATACTGTTGTAACTGAAAGGATGGATCATACTGAAAAATTAATTGCTGCTACTAAAGACAGGAGAGAGAATGAAAAAAAGAATCTGAAAATCAGAGACAAAGACATATAAATAATAAAAATTATGTTCTAACAGAAAGAGCTCCAGGTAGTATTTTTATCAGACTATCAGAGTTCTTTGCAAACGTATTCAGTAAAACTAAAAAGCCTGTTGAAAAAAGTCTGAGGATACATGTTTTGTCAAAAAAAACCCAAATTAAAATAGGGATGGCATTAGGACTAGTATAATTAAATACGGTACAGAAGAATGAGATGGAGTTAAGAGAACAGGAATCTGAACAAGAAAAAGATACTACTAAATCTGTAGGAGGTAAAGTAAATGATGAAATCAATTTAGATATCATGCAAGGTACATTTGAGGAAGGGCAGCTTGGCATTTTGGAAAAAATACTGCTGCAGAATCCAGCGAAAACAAGGAAACTGACAAAACTGTAGTAGGGCAGACTGAATTTGTGTCCCCAAAATCAAGCAAAACCAGGCAAATATTGTACAGTAAACAGTCAGATTTATTTACCAAGGCCACTGATTACATTCCAACAGTTTTATTTAAAGTTAAAACAGGATGTTAAAGAACCCTTAGAGCATCTCTACGAAGGATGCAAACTGATGCAGTTGCATCAGCAGTCTGAAAAGATTCGTCATGAGATCACAGCTTACTCGCCTAAAAACAATGTTATACAGAGGAAACAAATGACTGTGCGCAAAAGGGGCACATTTTTGACACTGGGCAGGAAAAACGTATGGAAAAAAGGAACATTCCTTTTTAGCTGCCAGAGCTTTTGTCTGCTGTAACAATTAAGTGTGCGGTCCAAACTGCAGCTAAAGGTACTGGACTAATGCTTCACTAACAGGAATTTAGCAAGAACAAAATATGCTTTGTTTGAGGGGAAAAACGCAACAGATACAACACTGTCTCATTCTAGTGATTTAAAATCAAGAGTGAACAACCCTAACTTATAGTAGTTAATGACTGATTTATTATATTTTGAGGTTCTGATAGTACAGACTGAGTTAATATTAAGGTTTAACAGTCAGTTACTCAGCTTCCTGACCTTTGACTAATAGACTATTTGTGATAAGTATCTTTGGCTGGTAGTGGCTTGAAGCACAGAATTAAAAAATAATTCATTTGTAAATGCTTTGGGTTTTTTTTTTCTACATGGGTAAGTAAGGTGTGAATTTTTTTGAAAATATTTTGGCTTCAGGCAATTTACCCTAAATTTACACTGAAACTGAAGCAACTAGGTGCCTTCCGTCACACTTCAGCATGAACATGCCTGTGGTTTCTTGTATTTCACAGTGAAGTTTGTTACCGTGTGGGAAGATCTTAACCTTTAATCCTACATGGCATTTTTGATTGTTCTTTCAGTAAAGCTTTTCCCATTTTTATCTGGATATGAGAAAGAGACCTACTAAACCCAAGTAGGGATTCTAGAGAAAAACAGTCAAAACCAAGCATATTTTTTCCTGACCATTGATTTTAACTACTACAACACCAGTTTTGGTTAAAGCTCTATCCTCCAAACTGTTCTGAGACTATTATTTGAACAAGTATTACTTACATCAGAAATATGTAGCACATTTTTACTCCAAGGTAGCAATCTAGCGTTTGTCTTTAAGTTGAGGAAAATAAAAATCCTAAAATCTCTGTAAAGATTACTATCCTATAGAAGTGTGACAGTTGAAGCCTCTGAAAATAAGCATGATTTCCCTTCACAACCATTTCCAGGAGTAGGCAGTAGAAGAAAGCTACTAGAAGAAACACCAGAGAAGGAACATGAAATCAGTGCTGCTGTAGAAAATGAACACAACAGTGACCAACGTTCAAAAGCTACAGTGATTCCTTCAGTAAATTATGAAGAAAAAATTGACAGTTCAGTAGTTGATTCTCAATTTGATGTCAAAAAGCCTTTCTCAGATGCCATCCAGAACTATGTTCCGCGTAGTGGTAAGTGCTAAGTTTCCTAATTTTAAGGAAACTAAATTTGCAATATAAAAAAAATTAAAAATTAGATGGAATTATATTAAATTGATAATTGTCAACCTTTGTTTTTCCTTATGAATGAACCAGAAGGAGGCTGGGTGTATCAGATCCTTCTGTGCTTGAATGCTCTTGAGATTGGGGAATTGATGAAGTCAGCATTGTCAGCAGTGATGAGTATTATCAAACAGGTAAGAATTTTTGTTTTATTTATATTAGTGCAAAATTAAGCCAGTTATTGGTTATGTTCTGCAATTAAGCTTGTAAAAAACAAAAGGGAAAAAAAAGTCTTTTAAAATAAACCTTCTGCAGTCCCCTTGCTTCTAGGGGTATCTAATGCTAACTAGGATAGAGATGGAAAAAGAAAACGTCAAGGTAGCTGCTGTTCACCTGCCTGTGTTCTTCGCACTGCAGAACTTAGTGTGGGTTTTTTTTACAGAAGAGCCAGGAAACACCTAGGTGGTCAAAATATCAGCATTTGGGTTGGGTCTTGGTTTTGTATATGACACTGATAACTCCCTCAAGTTCTCATGACAGTACTGCTTACATTTGCTTGGAGTTCTAAAGTTTGCATTAGGATCAGTAAAGTAACAGGAATACTTTCATTGCTTTTAAAAAGTAACTTCAAAGCCTTGACTCCCAAAGACTCCCATAGTTCATAATTGCCTAAAAAAATGCTTTTCTAAGCAAATACATAAAATACAAAATGGGATTATGATTGCTATGGAGATGTCTTAAACATAAAAATGTAGAGACAGAGTGAAAGTGAACCTTACTGGACAAAATGTAAATATAGTTGGATTTGATGATCTTAAAGGTTTTTCCCAACCAAAATGATTCTATGATTCTATTATTCTATAATGGCACAAGAAACAACACTGACAGATAAATGTGAGAAAAGGTAGATGGTGTTGCACTGTATCCCTAAACAGAAGGGTAATATCAGGTAAACTGGTACATGGTAATATACTATAATACTTCATTAATTTTGGTATTTTGAATCATAGAATGTTTTGTGTTGGAAGGGACCCGCCTGCAGTGAGTAAGGACCTCTTCAAGTAGATCAGGTTGCTCAGAGCCCCAGTCCAATATAACCGTGAATGCTTCCTGGGATGGGGCATCTACCATTCCCTGGGTTTAACTTAGTTCAGATCGGGGAACTGGAGTTTTAAGAACCACAGAAATTTGTTCCTGATTTCCAGTGTACTTATGTACATCCTACATAATGTAGTCTACATTGCAGCCTAGGAGATAAAAACAGAAGGTGGAAGGGCTTTGGTTATTTTTTTAAATCATCAACCAGATAAGACTTCAAAGCGTTTTGATAGTTCACTGCTGTGACCAAGCTTATTCTTGTGTTGACACAGCTGAAAACGCCACTTACATCTCTTACATATATAAAAGACCTATGGTCTCTTAGGTAGTACCAGCTTTACAAGCAAGTCACCTTGCATTCTGAAAACTGAGTTGGCATACGTTCCAAAAAAAAAAAAAAAAAAAAAAAAGTGTGTAGTTTAGTACATGTAAAAGAATTACAAAAATAGAGTTAGTGCTACCAAATGAGATGAAAAAGAATCCCCTGCTGCGTGGCACTGCAGCTGCCGCTTACGCTTCAGCAGTCCCGGTACAATGAACGTGCAACGAAGACACTGAGCCGCAGAACTCGTTTAAATGCGGTTGAGCTACTCCTGGGCACCAGGCGGCCTCAGTCGGTCACCGACCCACCTGTTGTCGCCAGCCCGCCCCGCCCCGTC